TGCAAGCAGCAGCAGCCTGGGTGCCACCCCGGCCCTGCGCCCACGGGGGCAACGCGCGCTGTGTCGGCAGGGCCATGGGGCTGGCACGTCGCTGTGACACGGCCGGCCGTGACGAGCTGTCAGCAGGGCCCTTAGCAGGCAGCGTGATGCCAGAGCCTCATTAGCAGGGCTGGAATCTGCCCTTGGCTCCAGGGCGCCCACAGCTCCTGGCACTGAGGCTGCCCCGCTGCCCACAGGCACAGGCAAGCTGACGCCAGGCTTAGTCCCAGACACAGTTTGGCAGCTATGTTTTTTTGCACACACAGTCTGAGAGGGTTCTTGTGCTGCTTGGGTACGTACAGCTAGAGTATGAGCGGGGCTGTGCCAGCCTGGAGTGGGGACACACTAAATACTGGGCACAGGGTCCCACAAAAGGGCAAGGGGAGCAGGTGTGACTCCCGCCTGGTTGGCAGCGTGGTGGGAAGCAGCCGCGAGGTAGAGGGAAAGGATTTCTTCTGGGTATTTGTTTGGGTTTTAGCAGCTTGTGCAGTCGTGTCTCCTGAAGAGCAGGGCAAGGCAGCCCTGCGCCCATGTCTGATGCTCCAAGGGCTCGGTGGCTTGTGGCTGGTGACCACTGGCACAGGCACTCCTGCTTATCATGTGCAGGCTTGACCTGCGCTTTGGGATTGGGACCAGTTCTTTGCTGGGGGAGGTGGCAGCAGAGAGCGCAGCTTGTGCCCAGGTCTCCTCCTCGCCACCAGGCCAGACTGTCCCCAGCGCCCTGCAGGCACTGCAGTGCCCACCTGGCGACGGCTGCGTGGTGTCTGCTCCCCGCTCTCACCCGCAGCATCATTGGCTGCCCAGGGGCTGTGCCAGCCGGCCCCTTGCCACCCCCCACCAGAATCCCCCTGCTGCCATCCTGCTCTACTGTGCATGTTGCCCTCCCAGCACTGCCTCCTCCCCAAGGCGGGCATTTCTGCACAGGCCCCTTGGTGGAGGGGGGCACTGGGTCCCTGTCCCCATGCCATCGCTGCCCGTCCCACCCCACCTGGTCCCCCCAGCGGCAGCCTACCTTCTGCAGCCTCCCTGGGCATAGCTCCCTGTGCCGGCACAGCCCGGCCCGGGTGCTGCGCTGGGCAGCTGGGCAGTGTGGGGCCCCGGCGAGCTGGGCACTGCATCCCCAGGGCACCAACTGCGCTGCTTAAAATAGACCAGGGAGAAATGTGGCTGGAGGGGATAAATATAGCCCTGGAGACGGGGGCCCGGTGGCTGTATCAGTGTCATGGGCAGCACCGTGCCAGCACGGCCAAGGACGAGGAGCCTCATGCCCCCTTCCCAGGATAAAGGAGGCACAAGATCATCATGGCCCCACAGGGCCCCAAGGAATGGCCTGGGTGGGAAAGCTAAGGTACAGGTGGGCAGCCCTGCAGCACCGCGTGTCACACGCCCTAGGCAGCAGGGCTGCACAGTGTGGCAGCTGTGCCCAGCCTTGCCTGCAGTGATGACGCTGACTGTGCCACAGAGCATTTATTTAAGTTAATGAGGGGACAAGAAGCCCCTGGCATCTGGCAGCACTGGGCACGAGGGCATGGGACTGTGCGCGCACGAGGGCAGGGGACCGCAGCGGTCCCCAGCCGTGGTCACCGGCCCCAGGTGCCCTGTGGGAGGCAGGTGTGAGAGGACGGGAGGCTGTTGTGCCCATAGAGGCTGTGGGCGCGGGCAGGCACGGGGCAGGCAGCGCTGGAGCTGGGCTGGGCG